CCCCCCCCCGCCGATCCCCCCTACCCAGCCCCATCAGGATGTCACCTCCCCTGGCTGCCGCGGGCCCTCAGGCACCCTGGGCTCCAACCCTCTCCCCTCCTGGCCTCTCTTCCCGATTCTTCCTCAGCACCTGCAGACTCCTCCAGATTGGCTCTGGCAGCAGCCAGCACACCATCGGCAGCTGCACTACCATCACCTCCACACCTGAATTCCCCTTCTGACAATACAGCCCAAAGCTGCACCCAAAGTTGGCTCAAACACCCAAGGTCATGCCAGGTGAATAGGTGCGAAGGGTCACCATCTCTGCTTATGTAATTGGTATCTCTGAATCTAAAAATGGTTGACTTGAATTCAATCTTTTTTATCTTCTCTGTTGGTCTGGCCTGAGTTCTAAGTATACCTACTTTTCTTCCTGCCTCCCTTGAAGTGGGAGATGCCCACATCTGCAGAGCCCCCGTGAGAGGCCACCCTCAGGGGTGCCATGCAGGGCAGGTCCCCAGGAGTCTGGAGCTCTGCGTACCTGGTCCTCGATGCCCTGTGCGATGGCCTTGTGCCAGGCGCTGATGACACCCTCCGAGTCGTGCTGTATCAGGTACTCAGAGCCATCGCGGCTCCGCAGCTGGAGGGACACAAGTCAGTGGGTCACTGTCGGAGCCCACCGCTGTGGTGTGGGGTGCAGAGGGGGACATAACTGGTGCCTGCCCCCTAGGGTGGGTGAGCCTGGCCCTGTCTCAGCAGGTGGCGCACAGCCTTGAGGGAGGAGAGGTCTGCAGGCAGCACCTCCCCTTGGGGAGAGCAAGAGGTCCTGCATGCTGGGGACCCTGGGCTGCCTCGGCTTTTCCAGCCTATGTCCCCACCCTGCCCACACGCCAGTCCACCCAGCATCAGTCAGCCAGACATGGAGCCGCCCTGGACAGTCAGCCACCCCACCCCACCCGTGACTGGAGAGAAGGGGCTAAAACCTTCGCAGACAACAACCATTATCTCCGGCAGCTCACGTTCTCGACCCACAGCTGCCTAGTCACACGGCCTCGAAGTGCGGAAGGCCCATGTTGGAAGCAGGCTCCCGAGTCGAGGAATGCTGCTGAGTATCTGTGGTGCTGCAGTGGCACCCTGGACCCCGAGAAGCTGCCCAGTCTCTGTGCTGGGGAAAACCCTGAGTCGCCCACAGGCTAAGCTTCCAAAGGCACCACCAACCTTCAGACATCTCCAAAGACAACCGGCCTGGTGTGGTGGCTGAGACAAGAGGATCACCATGAGTCTGCGGCCAGCCAGTGCTACACAGTGAGTTCAAACCTAGTCTGGACTATGACGTAGCCAGACGCTGTCTCAAAAACCCTAACCCCTTCACCAAAAAAAAAAAAAAAAAAAAAAAGCCATGATAGGGAATAGTTTGAAGGACAGCCCTCAAATATGGGCAGCACTGTGGCTAGCAAAGGTGATGTCCTGGCCTATTCTGGCACCGTGGCAGACATGGCAACTTATGGAAACTCCACTCTGCCAAGGTCCAAGAAGGGTCCCGATGACGGATCAGAGTAACTCAGGTATAAAACTGGGTGTCCACTGCTGCTCTGCACACCCTGGCTCTGGAACCGGACAACGCTTGGCGAAGCACTAGAAAACATAGCACTTAGGCCCCTTGAAGAGCTGGTCTTTCTGAGCTGAGATTTGAGGCCAGGCTTTGCTCCTTTCATAATAAGCTACCTGGACAGCATGAGGCCCTGTCACCCTCCAGGGCGCTTGGTGGCAGGGCCCTGGCCTCATCCCCTAGAACCGGTGTTCGCTGAACTAACATGCTAGGAATTTCCTTAAGAACAAAAGGAGAGGAAGGAACTGGCATGCCCTGCAGAGCTGGGTAGGGACCTCTAGCACAACAAGAAGCCACGTCACTGATACCCTTATCTTCATCTCAGCTGCCAGAGAAATGAGCTGTTTTCCATCAGCCACCTTAGCACCTGGTCATCACCTGCCCCAGTGTCTCTCCATCTTGACTTGCACATCTAACTTGATTTTCCTGGTCCTGGCTTTTCAGGGGATTTTACCAGTTTTCCATGCACAGGTGTTTACTTATTTTTGAGACAAGGTCTCACTATGTAGTACAAGTCAGCCTTGAGCTCTCTAGGTCAGGCTGGCCTTGAACCTGCAATCCTCCTGCCTCAGCCTTCCCAGTGCTGGGATTACAGGCATTTTTGTTAAAATCTGCTGCATGGTTTTCTGGGACTAAGGTGTGGACAGAGTGGATTGAAAAGGAGACCAGAAAAATGGGATCAGGGAAGGGTGTGGGACTGTGATGCTCTCCCCTGGGTCTTCCCATTCTTATTGCTGGGGAGCTGTGAAAGCCTGTCCTGCCCTGGTTTTTTAACGGGGACCCAGTCCAATCAGAAGCTGGCTGTAGTTGGGAAGAGCAGGTGTTCCTGCCCAGCAGCTGGAGTAGCGTGCAGTTCTAGGCATGACAGCTTATTTTCCCAGAAACGTCTGCTTTTCACAGCCCTCAGCGCCTGGGACACTGCCCCAGGATGGGCAGCTTCGGCCTAGTGCCCCAAGAATTCCAGCCGCACTCCCCCAGCTCCTCCTTCCTGGCGCTGACTATGGGGAAGGCCCCTCCTCCTGCCCGCCGCTCACCTCCAGCACATTCTTCTTGCTGGATTTGTCCTTGGGGGCCCAGGAAAGAGAGGCCGCCTTCAGCTCCACTGTGTACTCCGGGGTGGAGAGTTTAGAAGGCTGCTGTCTCTGCAGAGAGTGGGGAGTGGCAGGATTACGGGGCCCTCAGCTCAGAGGGACCCATGACGGCATCTGTCTCTGACCCACCGGGGTCCCTGCTGGAGCCAGGCAGAAGCTTTGGGGTGAAGGAACCCTGGCACTTCTCCGTCCAGAGCCTGTTGGCCCGCTTGTCCACTGCTGCCCGCCCAGCCACCCGGGAGCAGGTGCCCCACCCCAGGGTGGCCAGACTGCTCATCCGTCATCCGGGGTGGGTCTGCTGCCATCACCCTCTCTCTACACCACCCAGCCCTGTCAGCCCAGGTCAGACGGGAGGTCCCTGCCAGGGCCGCAGTCTCACCAGGCTGCCTGCAGCTGAGGTCTTGCAGTCCTTGAAGAAGGTCAAGACACCACCCTCCAGCACTGTCCAGGAGGTGCTCCAGTGCTTCTTCCTGGGGGCGGGCAGGGCTCAGACCTGGTCCTGGCAGAGGCTGCACTGTGACCCCCAAGGTAAGGGCATCATGTCCAGCAGCCAAGGGCCTAGGGCAAGGTGCTATCTATGTCTCAGTGCCTCTAAGAGCACAGGAAGTGCTCTGGGACCCATCACTCAGGCCCACCCTGCTGTCCAGGCACAGATGATGAGCTCTCACCGGAGCCGCTTTCCCTTGTCCGCAGTCCGGGTACAATGCAGCACCCCTGCCTTGTCCAGGGTCTTGATCTAGAGAGGGGGGAAGGGGAGCTCTAGGGTGAGACACAACAGGGGCTGGCCTCCCCTCTGGGGGCAGGACGAGTCTCCTCACTGCCCACCCAGCGGCTGAGGCGGGGCCTACTCCTCCCACCCACCAACCTCTACCTCCAGTGTGGGCCTGGCACTGGCCTGGGGGAAGGCAGGATGTCCCACCCTGTCCCCGTCCCCACCCCTGCGGGACTCCCATTTCCTTGGTGGTGTCCTCCAGGGCCTGCATGCTCTTCCTGTACCTTTTCCTGTGGGGGGCTGGCTGGGGCTGGGGTGCCACCATCCTGGCTGGTTTTGTGGATGCTTCGAGGGGCAGGGACGGGGACCTGGGGAAAAGGTCACTGTCATGTACCATCCCTTCCACTGTCGGGGCTCTCCCTCCCCCGCCGGTTACCTGGGGCAGCTCCCACCGCACG